CTTCCTCCAAAATTTTGTCTCTGTCACCTTTCTGTCCTAACCCAGCCTTCTGAAGTGGAATGATTCTGGTTGAGTTCAGTGTTCTCTTTGGTAAAGCACTGAGTAAAATGACTTCACAAATGTTTCATGTGTATGAGTGTTCTGTGTGTATATATGTCTGGAGCGCCTGTGAGAGCCAGAAGAGGTGTTGGATCCCCTAGAACTGGAGTTGCAGATGGCTGATGCTGTCACGGTCTGCAAGAGCAGCCATCTTTCCAGCCCCGACAAATGCCTTTGAACACAGCTTTTCCATCTGTCTTTCTCTGACCAGCAGCCCTACAGAAAGCCATCAAGGCACTCCGCCCTGCCTGGAGTGGTCACACAGCAGCAACTCACTGTGCACAGGCTTCTTCTCAAGTCCTTACAAGGAGAGAAAAGTGTTATCTGTGTTTAGGGACCTAGGACATGACCAGAAAAGGGCAAATGACCTGCACAAGTCACACAAATGCTTAGCTCTCCCGTCCCCTCCAGACCTGAGCATTTAACCTCCAACCCTTTGTACTCTGCTGGGAAGGAGAAAGAACCCTGGGGCTAAGAACCCAGTCTTGATGGTTGTGTGTCTGAGGTCAGCTTGTTCTCCAGTCTAGGGCCAGGTCCTTTCTCTCTCGGGGCCTTTTCATTCCTGTGTAAAAAAGAGGTCAGTGAGGGCCTCCCAGGGCCGCTCTTGTGCGTATGCTTAGCAGCACCTTCTAGAACAACTACTAGATCCTGATCTTGCTTAGCTGAAGACTGGCCAAATACTGGAGATGGAGAGGACTGAGAGGAGTTAGCTGCTGCAACTACTAACCCCTGCCTCCCTTTTTTAAAGCGAAAAAATTTCCTTTTGAGCTCAGCTGTAGAATACTTACACAAGGCCCTGGGCTCCATCCCCAGTGTCACAGGTTTGTTGTTTTTTTTTTTTTGTTGTTTTTTTTGTGATGGTTTGTGTACCCTTGGTTGTCCTGGAGCTCACTCTGTAGACCTCAAGCTCAGAGATCTACCGGCCTCTACCTCCTGAGTTCTAAATTTAAAGGCATGCAACACCACCATCTGGCTTGAAGACTTCTTTTCTTTTTTTCTTTTGGATAAGTGTTTTTGCCTGCATGCATGCCTGTGCATCACATATGTGCTCAGTGTCTAGAAGAGGGTGTCAATCCCCCTGGAACTGGGTATTTCAGGGTATTGTTTGCTGCCAGCTGGGTTCTGGCAACTGTCTTAGCAGCTAAGCCATCTCTCCAGCTCTAACATGGGACCAGTACTTTTATCCACTGAGCTAGCTTAACACCTTTTATGAGGAGTATTTTGAGCAGGGTATCATGGTGCATGCCTTTGATCCTAGAGGGGAGGCACAGCAGGCAGGAGTTGGAGGCTAGCTTATTAGCAAATTCCAGGCCAGCAAAAGCTATGTAAGACTCTATCCTCTATATAATATTGAGACAGCTTTTCACGTAGCCCAAGCCAACCCTGACCTTATTTTGTAGCTCAAAATAACCTTAAACTTGTGATCCTCCAGCTTCTACTCCTGAACACCAGGATTGTAAACTTGCCTCCCTCCCTCCCTCTCTCCTCTCTCTCTCTCGCTATTTGAGAGGCTCAGCACAGTCCTATATTCTCATTCATTCATCGATTCATCGTGGCCTTGGCAGCCACATTGGTAGCTGGGTCTAGTCCTCTACCAACTGGAAAGCCCAGCAGAATGCTTGCAAGGCCAGCCAGGGAGTTGGTGAGCAGGCTGGTGCCCTTTCTCCAACTTTGGGCCACCTCCTTTGACACAGAAGAGAGAGAATGAAGATAGGGCTAGTACTTCCCATTGGCTTCAGAGGAATGGCCCAGTGCTCTAAGGGAAAGGGCTTGGCTGTGATTCCCAGGAAGAGACTTCAGCTTGCTGGAGTCCCATTTCTAGGTTCTGGCCTTGTCTCCCTCCTCTTGCCACGCTGGGGGAAGGCCTTGAGAATCCTGCTGTTATCTTCTGATGGCAACTGCCCATTTTAGTCAGTGTCTACCAAGTTCTTGCCACAGGGTCAGGCTCTGTGCAAACCCTGGGAAACATGGAGAGTCAGGTATGGAATGAGACAGCCTGCACCCATACCTACAGAGGAACTGTTAGGAATTCTGCAGAGACTTCCCAGCCTCTGTGGATCTGGACTCTGCACCAGAAGAGATGGATCCAGGTTTGGACAGGTCTGGAGTGTAAGGATTGTTGGGTTCATCCTTCTAGATATCAGTTCCTCTCCTCTAGGCAGCAGAGGCAGGGTGGGACCTTTCGTCAGCCTTTCTATGCACACAAGTTGGCTATGGCTCTCTTCGGTTCTTCCTAGTCCAAGCAGGAGACACTGCGTATTCAGCTCTTTGCTCTTGGGTTTTCCTCTGAGTGAAGCCAGGAGATTAAAGGTCACTCCTGCTTCCAAGTACAACCTATCTTCCTCCTATCTTGCCTGGTTTTTTTTCTGAGGCAAGTTTACTCTTGGGCAATAGTGACACTTCCCTAACTGATTTCTGGTCATAGGTGGGTCACAGGCTGAATATTTTAAAAGTATGTGACATCCGTGGAGGCATGCATGGGCCAGCACACATGTGGAGGTCAGAGGGCAACTCTGGGGAAGCAGTGCTCCCCTTTCACCTTTATGTGGGTTCTAGGGACTGATCTCACGTCCTCAGCCTTGTGTTGCAAGTACCTTTACCCTCTGAGCCATCTTGCTGGCCCCCAGACAGAATACTTTGGATACCTCATATACCTCTTCTTAGTAGAGAACAGTATCCATTATTCCCATCTTACAGGTAGAAGAATTGAGGCTCAGACTTACCTAGGGCTGAATGGCCAAGAATTCTGACCAGATGTGTTGGACACCTGACACCTAAGCATTAGGCTTTCTGTTCTGCTGCCTTCAGGGTCCACTCCAACAATGCCCTCCCCAGACTACAAGATGGGGGCTTTGCAGCATATTCAACTTCCCTGAATGGGTGTATGCCTTTAAGCCTTTTTGCATTCTAATTATCAGCAAAATAAAACCAAGAGAGCTTTGCTTGTTTATTTTAAGTCTGAATTAATTGAAAAACAAAAACAAAAACCAAATCTGCTTTTCACCCTTAGGTTCTTGGCATTCAAGTGGCTAGCTGCCGTGAGGACCATTCATTGTTTCTCCCTGTTTCCACCATCCCAGCTGCTACCACCACTAGGCCATCAGCAAGATCAGTAGGTAGAGAGGCAAAAGGAGATTGTCTATCTGAGTAGTGTACGCTTCCAGGAGGGACACGGCACTGATGGACCCCAAAATCCAAGCATAACTGTAGTTCAGGTCTACTCCACTGTCAAAGATTAAGATCAGAGCTACAGAGATGATCTGTGCAAATATAGACGTCATAGTCCCCTCGAATGTTTTCTTAGTCCCAGGCCAGCGGATTTCTCCCATGGTGCTGCCAAATATGGAGGCCACAGTATCACCCACACCCACAGCCAGGACTCCAGCATAGGGGACCAGGGCTCTTGCTCCTCCCAGGCTGTCCTTTTGTGCACAGGGCCTGGGAATCAGCCAAATGGGAAGAGACATGCCCAGAAGCAGATAGATGTGTGTTAGGATAAGGGGTCCACTGTCTCGTTCATCCAGGAAGAGGGACAGAAGGCTCCGCAGAGTTTGACCCAAGGGCTTGATTCGGAAATAGCGCACATACTCCAGGAAGATGAAGACTGCCAGACATATAGTGGCAGCCACATACAGCAGTGGCCGGTCAAAGACGATCCCTGGGATGTAAGTGGCTACCACAATGAAGTGAAAATACTTTCTGGTAATGGTAGGAGCCCTGTGCTTCTTGGACTCAGAAGATGATCGCTTGGCATTCTGGTACAGCACCACCAGGCAGGCCATGGTGGCCAGCAAAGACCAATACGCTAGGAGGTAGATGCGAGTTTCTGTGTAGAAGAGGAACTGAAGAAGCCAGAGCAGAGGGTTCCTACGAATGAGCCAGTGCAGCCAGGGCAGAACCACACCAAGGCCCAGCACACAGGTCATGAGGTGGAAGAAGATGGAAGAGGCCCAAGTGCCTGAGTCCATGAAGACAAAGAGGGTGCTGAAGAAGACACCCATGAGCACCATCCCTACCACCACCACCAACAGGAAGAAGTCCACTGGGTCCCCTTGGCTTTCAGTCAGAGAGCGCTTGATGAGTTGGTTGAGGACGAAGCTAATGGCACCCAGTACCAGCAGTGCCTCTCCAGGAGTGAAGCACCGGGGCAGCAGGTACAGCAGGATCATGTTGAGATAAACAAATATCAGCAGGACTTCCAGGACCTCGATCACCTCGCCCACACTGAGGGAGTGCTTCATAATATAAATGATAATGCCTCCGGCCAAACCCGAGATGGCACAAGTATTGGTGGGCACAGGGCGAGTGATGCCCAGGGCCAACACAGAGGAGAAGAGGGCCACTGCCATGCCAGTGGCTGCAACCACAATGCCGAAACGCTCGAAGTACGGGTTCCCCGCAGTTTGGCAGCGCTCCTTCATGACCAGCCCAAACAAGGGCATGACCATGGAGGCCGGCAGTAAGCCACTGTTCGCGGACATTCGGAACTGGAAAACGGCATTCCCCTGCTGGAGCAGCCGGTCCCACTTGTACTGGACGTAGAAGGCCTGCACTGCGAGGGCCACGGCGCACCATGAGTATCGGTCCCACACCACAGCGTGGATGCTCAGCACCACTGCGAACACCACTGCAGCCTCCGCCAGGACCGACCAGCTCAGCGGAAACCTAGTCTCCGGGACTGGGGGAGGGCACTGTCGGGTCATGTCTCTAGGTCTGGGGCTCTTGGGGGAAGCTTGGTGACTAGGGACGCCTTGGCCTCTGAGGCCCTCAAGCAGGCAAGCAGAGGGCAGCAACTTCACCCAGCCAGCAACCTTCTCCAGCTTCCAAAAGGGTGCTCCACTACGGGCCACTGTGAGGCCTGGGAGCCGGCGCCCAGTCACCCTCCACCGCTTCCAACCTACGGTGTAGCAGACGTTTGCACTCTTCACCTCTCACGGGTTCCACCGCCTCCACCGCGGACACCACTCAGCCATGGGCAGCGCCATCTTGACAGCCCCATCCTGGGCCCGTCCCGCCGTCACGTGACGGAAAGCACCGCCCCTCGTCGGACGGTGCGCGGTCACGTGGGCCTGGCGTATGGGGGCGGGGCTGGGACGAGCGCGCGAAGATGGCGGCTGCCGCCGGTGGGCCGTGTGTGAGGTGAGGAGTGGGGCGCGGCGGCGGCGGGGGTGGCCGTGCGGTGCCGGTTGGGCGCAGGGCGGGAGTTGGGAACGGGATTCGGCGGCAGTGGAGGAAACGAGCCCAGGCTGGGTGGACGGACACCCGCCGGGGCGGCAGTTAGGTCCAAACCGTTCCCTCTCGCGGGGCTGAAGACTCTTCTGGAGCGGGCCGATCGCTCTCCCTTCCCTTTCCGCGATTTCTATGCCTCATGTCTCCCCACGCTCCCGCGCTTCCTCCACCACGCTCCCCGTAGCACTGCTGGACATCTCGGGGTCGCCTGGAAGACACCCCCACTCCCGGGCCCCGCCGTAGTGTCCCCGCGCCCAGCCCCGCCTCGGGTGTGCCTTGCCCACGCCGCGGGTTCTTCCCGCGGGCATCCTTAGTTCCCGCCTTCTTTTATTTTTGGCTGATGCTGGTATTGATTAAATCAGCAGACATGCCTTTATCTTCCAAGCGATTCCGGGTGCTGTGCCAGCCTTCGGACACAAGATGAATTGTTAGCAAACAAGCTCACGGTTCTCACTTAGGAGTGCTTGTTTTGTTTTGAGGCTAGGTCTCTTGTACCACGGGTAGGCTTGAACTCCTATCCTCTTGCCTTTGCCTTCTTAGTGCGGAAATTACGGACGTGAATTACGAGCCTTGCTTGTCTTTCTTTAAAGAGCGCTTACTAGCGCCAGATCCTGGGAAAGTGCCTTGCATGCCTTATCTCATTCATCCCTCACAAGTAGGCGACAGGCGCCTCCTGTTACACACGACACAGAAGTCCGATTCAAAAGGTAGTTCCCCGTCTGCCCCTTGTGATAATCCTCAGGAGGATTCGGATGCAAGGCTATCAGACTAAAACCATAACCAGGCCTCTGTGCTCGGTACATCTTCCACATTGTAGACGAGACAACCCACTCCTAAAACTTAAACAAAGTTCTCACCTGCAACTGACTCTGCTAGCTTTATTTGGTCTTGTTTCCGAGGAACTCTTAAACACATAGACACCCATGTAAACGTCTCCCACATTGTCTTTTCTCCATCAGCCTCTTGGCCTTCCAGTGGTAAGATTTCCTTTGCAGAGTCCTGTGGAGAAGATGCGATCCTTGGGAGGGCCATTTTCCTTTTCTTCCCTCTGCTGTTTCGTCCTAGCCCTTGTAGCCACAGCTATGGGTATATATTTGTATGAAACTTGGAAAAAATGATTTTTTTCTAAAGGAAAGGAAAATTTTGGCTTGCGGACAGACTTTCAGCATGTTGAGGAACATACCAAACCCTTCCTTGAGGACGGACTTTGACTGATCCTAGGGTATTTATTTTTATTTTGGGGTTCTAGGAGATCACACCCAGGGCCTCAGGAATGCTAGGCAAGCACTCTGCTACCGAGCCACAGCCTGGGGACGCCTAGTGGTGTTAGGAGAGTAACTTTTAGCTTTGGAAAGCACTCTCCCTAGCCGTTGGGAATAGTGGTCTCTCTTTGAAAGCCTGAATCTGGCTCAGGGAAACGTCCCTTCTGTTCCTTCTGCATATTGTTTTGGAGTTGACCTTAGAAGTCACCTTTCCATTTTAAGCTCCGGCTTTTCCAAGTGGGAATCTTTGAATCTTTTGTGTGTGCAGGTGTGTGCCTGTGGATGCTGTTGGGTGTCTTTCTTAGATCTGTTTTACCGAGGCAGAGTCTCCTGGATCTGGAGCCTGCTGCTTCAGCTTGTCTAGCAAGCCATCTTAGACTCGGCTTCCCCGGTTTCCTTGTGAGCATTAGGATTACTGGGCTCTCACCCCTGTCTGGTTTTCATATGGTGCTGGGGATCTGAGTCGTTTGCACTGGAGGTGCCTTATGGAGCCATCTCAGTGCTATGCTGTTCTTTTAGAGGCTTACTGAAGTGAGTGCAGCCTGTGTTCTGTGTGTGACCTAGACCTGGTCTGGCACTGTAACCCGCCTGCCTCAGCCTTTCTGCTGCTGCAGCTGCAGGTGTGTGCGGAGAACGTGGCCCTGGGCAACCACTCAGGAGCTTATGACAGTCGCTCAGAATTCGGCAGAAAGTTGGTTTGAATATTGGCGTTTTGAGTCTCTTGTGTTTGTGGAAGTCTGAGCGGTGCAAGTGTGTGACGAAAGTAAAGCAAGCCACTGTTTGAAAAGCCGTCACTACTACTATTGCTGGGCCCAGTGTGGTGATGCACATTTAATCCCAGCAAAGGCGGGCTAGAGCTAAACAGTAAAACTCTCTCAAAAAAGTTAAAAGCTGGGGCTCAAGAGATGGCGCAGAGATTAAGAGTGCTGACTGCTCTTCCAGAGGTCCTGGGTTCAATTCCCAGTAACCACATGGTGACTCACAGCCATCTATAATGAGATCTGGTGCCCCCCTCTGACGTACAGGCATGCATGCAGGCAGAACACTATAAATACTTTTTTTTTTTTTAAAGTTAAAAGCTATTGCTGCTAAGCTCATTCCTAGCTTACAAGAGAACTGTGCAGCTCCTTTGGAGTCAGGTAGACGCAGCTGCATTTCTTTCTATGTACAGTGTAACTTTCTCAAAGGGACTGTTTTCATTAGAGTAACTTGACTGGCTCAGCGTTCTCCAGTTGGACTCTCATTATTCTTTGTGTTTCATCCAAAAGTTTTCTTTAAACCTTTTTTTCTTGGGCATTTTATTTATTGTTTCTACGAGCATTTGCCTACATGTTTGTCTGTGCATCACTCTGTGTAGTGCCCTGGAATTGGAATTACAAAGAGTTGTGAGTCACTTTATGGTGCTGGGAATTTAACCTGGGTTCTCTAAGAGCAGCCAAGTGCAGCCTAAGTTTTTGTGCACCAGGTGTGATAGTCCACAGAGGCTGAAGAAGGCATTGATTCATCTAGAACTGGAGTTCCAGGCAGTTGTTGTGCCAAATATAACTCTGGACTGTTTTTGGACTGCCAGCTCCTGAATAGTGATATGGAGGCTTTTTAAATTTTTTTAAAAGATTTATTTATTTATTTATTTATTTATTATGTATATAATGTTCTGTCTGCATGTGTGTCTACAGACCAGAAGAGGGCACCAGATCTCATTATAGATGTTAGTGAGCCACCATGTGGTTGCTGGGAATTGAACTCAGGACCTCTGGAAGAATAGTTAGTCAGTGCTCTTAACCTCTGGGCCAGCTCTCCAGCTTGGCTTTTTTTAATATTTATTTATTTATTTATTTATTTATTTATTTATTTATTTATTTATTTTGGGTTTTTGAGACAGGGTTTCTTTGTAGCTTTGGAGCCTGTACTGGAACTAGCTCTTGTAGACCAGGCTGGTCTCCAACTCACAGAGATCTGCCTGCCTCTGCCTCCCAAGTGCTGGGATTAAAGGTGTGCGCCTGAGGCTTTTTATTAATTATGAAAGCTTGGCTTTATCTTAGGCTTGTTCCCAACTAGCTCTTAAAACTTAACCGATTTATATTAATCTACATTCTGCCATGTGGCTTGTTACCTCTCCTCAGTACAGTATGTCTGACTTCCTCCACATCTGACTGGCAATTCACCTGCACTGCCAGTTCTTCCTATTTCTCTCCAGAAGTTCCACCTATCCTCTCCTGCCTAGCTATTTAGCTTTTTATTAAACTGATCATAACGTGCCTTAGGCAGGTGAGGAAGGACAAATACACATCTTTATACAATGTACAAAAAGATTATCAGATTATCTCAACAAGTTGTGATTTGCTTTATGTGGTTGTTGGAAACTAAATCCAGGTCCTCTGCAAGAGCAGTAATTGCTCTTAACTGAGCCATTTCTTCTGTTGTTATTTACTATTTTATTATAGTGTGTGTGCTATGGTGTGTGTGTGCAGGTCAAAGGACAACTCTGGAAAGTTGGTTCTCTCCTTCCATCTTAATGTGAATTCCAGGGTTGACAAAGTCAGGTCTCCAGGCTTGTGTGGCAAGTGTTTTTGCCCACTGAGCCACCTGCTGGTCCTCTGCCTCTTAGAAATGAAATTCTGTGTTGTCTCCTTGAACTTTAGATTAATGGCCTATATGTTTGCTTATTTTTACATTTATTTGTTTATTGTATACGTGTGGGTGTCTGTTTGCTAAGGAGTGCATGTGGAGGTCAGGGGACAACTTGTCAGAATCAGTTTCTTCCTTTCACCATGCGGGAGGGTTTTGGGGATTCAATTCATCAGGTTTAGTGATAGGCACATTTACCTACTGAGCCGTCTTGTTGGCTCATCAATGTATTTAAAAAAAAAAAAAGCAAACTTCTTTGTGTGTGTGTGTGTGTAGGTGTAGGAGACATTTTTGTGAGTCAGTTCTCTTCCACTGTGGGGTCTAGGGGTTGAGCACAGGTCACAAGGCTTTTGCAGCACGAGCTGTACTTTGCCAGCCCAGTCAGTACTTTTTTTTTTTTTTTTTTGATTTTTCGAGACAGGGTTTCTCTGTAGCTTTTTGGTTCCTGTCCTGGAACTAGCTCTTGTAGACCAGGCTGGCCTCGAACTCCTGGCTCAGTCAGTACATTTTTAAATCCCCCCTGCCCCCAGACAGGGTTTTTCTCTAGCTTTGGATTTGGAGGCTGTCCTGAAACTGGATCTGTAGACCAGGCTGGCCTTGAACTCAGAGATCCTCCTGCTTTTGCATCCCAACTGCTGGGATTAAAGGTGAGCACCTCAGCCTGGCTGTTTTTAAAAATCTTATCTTTGAAGCTAGATACTTGATTTCAGTGACTAGTTTCCCCTCTGTAGGATATAGGTAGAAGCTGTTCTTTTCCTGATCCCTTAGTTTGGATGTGCCAGTACCAGCCTCCTCCGGTGTGTCTGCACATTCCTTCACTTGCCAGTGGGAGATAGTCTTCCTTCCTGGGCCAGTGTCTGTGCCTTCTCTGATTCTGTGTGTGCAT